GAAAAATAGATTGGGATTTATCTATCTGTTCATGGTATTTGAAATTATTAGACTGAGTTTTCACCTATGAAAAATGGGTGGAGATTTTATGTTTAGATCTTTGATTCATTTTGAGTTGATTTTTGTTAATGGTGAGAGATAGGGGTCCAGTTTCATTTCTCTGCAGGTGGATATCCAGTTTTTCCAGCACCATTTGCTGAAGAGATTGTTTTTTTCCTCACTGAGGTGTCTTTTGCCCTTTGTTGAAAATCAGTTGGCTGTATATTTTGGGGTTTATTTCTGCGTTCTCTATTCTGTTCCATTGGTCTACATGCCTGTTTTTGTGTCAATACCATGCTGTTTTGATTATCACAACTTTACAATACATTTTGAGGTCAGAGAGTGAGATGCCTCCCACTTTATTCTTTTTGATCAGTATTGCTTTGGCAATACAGGGTCCTTTATATGGTAATATCTTTGACTATATGATTGATAGTCATATTTAGTCATATTTGACTATATGATATGTAATATATTTGATTATCTTTGTAATATGCAGTATATTCATGACTAGAAAGTCCATTTTGTGTGTTGTAAAGATACAATAATTAAATGTAATAAATAAGAAATAAAATAATAATAAAATGATTGGGAAGCATTTTAGGTTGGTTTTATAGATGAGGTAGCATTTGAACTAATGTGTTCGAGAAATCTCAGAAAGACCTAGTAACTAGGGAACATTATTTTACTTTCTTTTGTATTAGTGATTTTGAATCTTCTAATTTCCTAATATATTTTTCCTTTAATTTCATATATGATTTCTGCTTCTTTCACCATACAGTTAGTTGGGATGTTAGTTATGAAGACCATAGAGATGGAATACCTGTCTTAGTGTTATTTTTCTCTTCTGGGCCAAATTCCACATTTTTTTTTGAGAGGTTTTTTTTTTCACTATAGGGCGTGTGCGCTCGCCAGACAGACAGAGAGAGACATAGAGACAGAAAGCGAGAAATCACCCCCCAGGGGGGATGGTCACGCCGCAATCCCTTCTCCTCCATTCTCCTCCCGGGATCTTGGGCATGCACGCACACGCACCCGGCATGAGTTTTAAGCCACCGGGTCCAGGACGCGAACCGCGGTCGACTACGTGGGAGTCCAGCGACATAGCCATTACGCTAACTGCTGGTTCCCCAAATTCCACATTTTCATCTTCCTAATTGTTTTCTTTCTTATCCTCATTTAGCTATTTATGCCCTTGTATCATTGAACCAAGAACTGAATAACTGTTGTGATTTGTTGATTTAGAAAGTTTTGCTCTAGAAATGTTCTGTCTGGCTTCAGTGATTCTTATGATCAACTTGGTCATTGTGTCCCTGTAACTGGAAGCTTTTATCATGTTCCTCAATTTACTATTTATGAGACTCAGCAAGGCCCTCAACTAAATCCTAAATGCTGTTAATCTTTAATGGCTTTCTCAGCTTTATGTGGGAGGGGTGGACAGGATGGTAGTTTAATGTCTCTGGCAGCACTGTTTCATTTTGCTGTTCTCCATTACTTGAATATCATCTAATTTTTTATATTAATCTTTATAATACAAAGACTGCGTCTACGTCCCAAAGCAATATTCTTTTCTTCATTGTTCTCCCCATAACGTCAATGTATAACAGTAAATCAAGTATTTGAATGGAAAACAAATCTTATCACTTTTTTAAACATGCCTTGGTTTTGAATAGCTTTGCTTAGGCCTAAAGCCTTAGTGACTTCAGAATGAGACTATCAGGTGAGTCATGTCATCATCATCTGCTAGACTGAGACTGGACATAATGTAACCCTTACCTCAATTTCTGCAGAATTATATATTTTCTCTGTACCAGTAGCTCTTGACTTTTTATACCTACCTCAACAGTAGCAGCAGCACGCCTGACAGAGATTCTTCCCTGGGATTTGGGAGCTTATCAGAATCTCCAGGGGTACTTTAATTAGAAAAAGTCCCCCAGGTGTGATTCTGATTTGCTTCCTTTTCCCCCTCCTCCTTTGAGAATCACTGTTTCATCAGAAGCTTCAGCATACATAGGGAGGCAAATTTATTAGTATCTTGTCCTTTCAGAATTGAGATCCCTAATCCCCACACCCCAATATGTCTTTTTTGAGGAATTTCCCAGTAATTTGTTCATTCCTTCTTTTTCTTTCTTTCTTTCTTTTTTAAGAGAGATTTTTCTTATAGGGTGTGTATGCTTTCTGGAGAGACAAAGAGACAGAAAGTGAGAAATCACCCCCCAGAGGGGATGGCCATGCCTCAATCCCTTCTCCTCCATTCTCCTCTCAGGATTTGGGTCACTCACAGATGCACGTCTGGAGTCAGTTTTAAACCACTGGGTCTGAAATTCGATCCGTGGTTGACTACATGGGAGTCTAGCAATGTAACCATCACATCATCTGCTGTTCCCCCAGTAGTTCTACCTAATACCATAACTTCCAAAACCAACAGTTTCTGTCACCAAAGGTGTAGCTATCTCTAAAGCAGCCCTGTTTGTATTTGGAAGCCTATAAAGCAGGAGGTCTCCACAAGATGGAGGGCCAGGTTTAATTACATGGTATATTTAAATAGGAGCACTTTGTAAAAATTTACACTTGAGTCCAGGGTTTATATTAATACTACTCCCTGATCTCCAATTTTATTCCAACATTTTCTGATGAAAATTGTCAAACTTATACCGAAGCTAAAAGAATTTGAGAGTGAACACCTGTATATCCACCACCAGGGTTCTACAATTAACATTTTAATATACTCGCTTAATCATATGTCTACCCAAATATTCATCCCTCTATCCACCTATTAACTCATCTTTTTATGCATTTCATATTAAATTCCCCCTAAATACTTCAGCATGCATATTATTAACTAGAGTTCAGTATTTGTTTAGTGTTTTTCTTTGAATGTAAAATTTATATGCAATGAAGTGTCCAAATCATAAGTGCTCATTTACTGAGTTTTAACAAATGATGAATCTATAAATCAAACTTCTATCAAAATACTGAACACATTGGGCTGGCCCCATGGTGCAGTGGGGTTAAGTGCTACGCATAGGGAGCTAGGTCTCACATGGCTCACTACAGTTAGAATCCCAGCCCAGGCTTGAAAAATATGCCTAGCACTTGTGTGATGTGCCCAAAATTTTGACAGGTTGGAGAAATGGAGGAAAACAGATTGCAGTGTGATCATGTTCCATGAGGGGGTATTTCCTCTCTCTCTCTGATGAGCATGTGTGTCCTATGGCAATAATAATAATAAAACAATATATAGAACACCAAGCCCTTCCCCTTTTTGCCCAGATTTTTCCCTCTTGACTGTCTATAGCCTCTGAGTTAAAGGTAAGAAAAAGGCTTATCAGTGTTTCCAGGACAAATATGGATCAATGTCTAATGACAGATCAGCAGATGTCTCTCCTTTGCCTGAAGTGTTTTGTGTCTCAAATTGTATCTGAATGTTTTAGAACAGGAGACTGAGTGAATAACTTTTCAGTTTTCAAACAATTATTTTGGAAAGTAGCTAGGTAAAAATACCTTTCATCTATTAAGTATTTTATAAAGCAAAAGCTCTAGTTTAATGAAATATGAGGAGATATAAGTGGAAACAAGTGGGAATGAGAAAGGAAGGAGAGATGAGATAGGAAAAATTACATAAATATCAATGTAATATAGTGGATATATTAAAATCTAATACATTGGTTAAAATATATATCATGTCATATAACATTACTGGACATCACAGACTAAACTGACAATATTGATATGCCATTTACTTAAGGGAGTCAGCATATCATATTCCTTGCTCAGGAAATACAAATTGAATTTCTCTATTGCTTTTGGGCTTCAGTCTTTTTATTGTTAACATCTTTATGCCTGATAAATATCACCTATTTGGCATATTTTTATAGACTGAGTATATTTTAATTCACACCAGTAAATCTTAAACATGATATGAGTTTGAAATTATCTGCTTGCACTTGATGAGGAACAACATATAAGTATATTTCTAATAAGATAATCCTGATACCCAAAGGAAAAGTTGTGACAAAAGTAAATTGATATTTCCATAACAAAAAGATACAGCAAACACATAGTCATTTGCATATAGTTCCTGAAATATTGCATACTGGCTTTGTCAGTGCTGGTAAGTCCATTTCAAGGATGTCGCCCTTAGTCCATTAGTTTGGATAATGAGCCCTATAAAGAACATTTATAACTTGTGGCACTGCAAGGAGATGGATTCTAATTTTCATCCTTTTATCTAGACACATTGAAAGAAGGTCAATGGAGGGTTCTATATGATTCATTGTCCCAACACATATCAGATGACAGAGACCTGATAATGTCCATGCATAAGTGTTTTCCTTATTTGGAAATAGCACTTGAAAGAAATCTTTCTATGATCATCCTTTGAAGTAAAGTGGAAACAGATATTATAAGAAGCTCTATCCCTCTTTTTACTCTTTAAAACATTATCAAATGCGTGACCAGATAGCTATTCTTAAACAAAAGAAAAAGCAACACTTAACAGAAAAATAAAAAGGCTTTAGTGACTTTTACAGGCTATGAATGATATAAGAAGATATTTAATCAACTTCTCTCATTTTCTTAGAGCTGTTAAGGAAAAAAAGAGAGAGAGCCTGTTTTCTAAACAAAGGAAAAGCTTCTGTGTTCCTAAGCATTAGGAAAGCTGAAAATTATACTAAAATACCTGATCAGCTTTACTCTTATTAATGAGATTCAAAATAAATACTCAAGTTGTATTCCACTCTCATTTTACAATTTAAAATACTTCAAAATAGAGGCAAGAACATATATTCTATAATATAGTGTCAGTTTTGTGTCAGAAAATGTAGAATTGTAGACAGTTTTTAAATTTCATCTTCACAAGACATTAGTTTTATATTCAAAATTGGTAACCAATTATGTTTATTTTCTCAATTATTTAGTTATTAACATGAGCTTTTTTGCTATGCTTATCTTCCTTATAGATGTAAAGCAATCATAGATCAGTTTGGCCAGAGAATAATCTCTAAGCATTTCCTTGTTGAAGACAGTTACTTTTCTGAGAACACGTGCTTGCATGTACAATACAGGTAAGGCATCCCTTCACTGAAAGGTTGGTGAAAGTTGGGAAATTTTAGGTGTGATTATATTGACATTTCTACATGATTCTGTTCTTCAAGTAATATTTGAATGTATACTGACTCAATGATAAATTCAATTTCTTACCACTCTTTTCTTATAAGGTATGGTTTTGGGGGAGCCTTGGGTAATTTTGCCTCCTTTGCTTTAGCTAGAGTTTGTCTGTAGGTCATGCATTCTCTTTTCATAAGCCAAGAAAAGATTAAAGCAGAACTTGACTTGGTTTGGGGATACTGAGTTTTAACAAATGATGAATCTATAAATCAAACTTCTATCAAAATACTGAACACATTGGGCTGGCCCCATGGTGCAGTGGGGTTAAGTGCTACGCATAGGGAGCTAGGTCTCACATGGCTCACTACAGTTAGAATCCCAGCCCAGGCTTGAAAAATATGCCTAGCACTTGTGTGATGTGCCCAAAATTTTGACAGGTTGGAGAAATGGAGGAAAACAGATTGCAGTGTGATCATGTTCCATGAGGGGGTATTTCCTCTCTCTCTCTGATGAGCATGTGTGTCCTATGGCAATAATAATAATAAAACAATATATAGAACACCAAGCCCTTCCCCTTTTTGCCCAGATTTTTCCCTCTTGACTGTCTATAGCCTCTGAGTTAAAGGTAAGAAAAAGGCTTATCAGTGTTTCCAGGACAAATATGGATCAATGTCTAATGACAGATCAGCAGATGTCTCTCCTTTGCCTGAAGTGTTTTGTGTCTCAAATTGTATCTGAATGTTTTAGAACAGGAGACTGAGTGAATAACTTTTCAGTTTTCAAACAATTATTTTGGAAAGTAGCTAGGTAAAAATACCTTTCATCTATTAAGTATTTTATAAAGCAAAAGCTCTAGTTTAATGAAATATGAGGAGATATAAGTGGAAACAAGTGGGAATGAGAAAGGAAGGAGAGATGAGATAGGAAAAATTACATAAATATCAATGTAATATAGTGGATATATTAAAATCTAATACATTGGTTAAAATATATATCATGTCATATAACATTACTGGACATCATAGACTAAACTGACAATATTGATATGCCATTTACTTAAGGGAGTCAGCATATCATATTCCTTGCTCAGGAAATACAAATTGAATTTCTCTATTGCTTTTGGGCATTAGTCTTTTTATTGTTAACATCTTTATGCCTGATAAATATCACCTATTTGGCATATTTTTAGAGACTGAGTATATTTTAATTCACACCAGTAAATCTTAAACATGATATGAGTTTGAAATTATCTGCTTGCACTTTATGAGGAACAACATATAAGTATATTTCTAATAAGATAATCCTGATACCCAAAGGAAAAGTTGTGACAAAAGTAAATTGATATTTCCATAACAAAAAGATACAGCAAACACATAGTCATTTGCATATAGTTCCTGAAATATTGCATACTGGCTTTGTCAGTGCTGGTAAGTCCATTTCAAGGATGTCGCCCTTAGTCCATTAGTTTGGATAATGAGCCCTATAAAGAACATTTATAACTTGTGGCACTGCAAGGAGATGGATTCTAATTTTCATCCTTTTATCTAGACACATTGAAAGAAGGTCAATGGAGGGTTCTATATGATTCATTGTCCCAACACATATCAGATGACAGAGACCTGATAATGTCCATGCATAAGTGTTTTCCTTATTTGGAAATAGCACTTGAAAGAAATCTTTCTATGATCATCCTTTGAAGTAAAGTGGAAACAGATATTATAAGAAGCTCTATCCCTCTTTTTACTCTTTAAAACATTATCAAATGCGTGACCAGATAGCTATTCTTAAACAAAAGAAAAAGCAACACTTAACAGAAAAATAAAAAGGCTTTAGTGACTTTTACAGGCTATGAATGATATAAGAAGATATTTAATCAACTTCTCTCATTTTCTTAGAGCTGTTAAGGAAAAAAAGAGAGAGAGCCTGTTTTCTAAACAAAGGAAAAGCTTCTGTGTTCCTAAGCATTAGGAAAGCTGAAAATTATACTAAAATACTTGCTCAGCTTTACTCTTATTAATGAGATTCAAAATAAATACTCAAGTTGTATTCCACTCTCATTTTACAATTTAAAATACTTCAAAATAGAGGCAAGAACATATATTCTATAATATAGTGTCAGTTTTGTGTCAGAAAATGTAGAATTGTAGACAGTTTTTAAATTTCATCTTCACAAGACATTAGTTTTATATTCAAAATAGAGGCAAGAACATATATTCTATAATATAGTGACAGTTTTGTGTCACAAAATGTAGAATTGTAGACAGTTTTTAAATTTCATCTTCACAAGACATTAGTTTTATATTCAAAATTGGTAACCAATTATGTTTATTTTCTCAATTATTTAGTTATTAACATGAGCTTTTTTGCTATGCTTATCTTCCTTATAGATGTAAAGCAATCATAGATCAGTTTGGCCAGAGAATAATCTCTAAGCATTTCCTTGTTGAAGACAGTTACTTTTCTGAGAACACGTGCTTGCATGTACAATACAGGTAAGGCATCCCTTCACTGAAAGGTTGGTGAAAGTTGGGAAATTTTAGGTGTGATTATATTGACATTTCTACATGATTCTGTTCTTCAAGTAATATTTGAATGTATACTGACTCAATGATAAATTCAATTTCTTACCACTCTTTTCTTATAAGGTATGGTTTTGGGGGAGCCTTGGGTAATTTTGCCTCCTTTGCTTTAGCTAGAGTTTGTCTGTAGGTCATGCATTCTCTTTTCATAAGCCAAGAAAAGATTAAAGCAGAACTTGACTTGGTTTGGGGAGATGACACTTTTATCCTGACTTAAATCTTTGAAACATGCCTTCTGGTGGTTATATAATTATCAGTGAAATTTATCCATGGAATCTGAATCACTCCTTTACTGTTTTGTGCATTACAGGCAGATCTCCAGAGCAGTCCTGATTACAGATAGATCTGTACTAAAAACAGATTCAGACCAACAGGTAAATTCAGTCTTATATTTTAAAATAAAAAATGTGATATTTTGATATACATGTGTGTGTGGTGAACTGATCACTCAAGTGAGATTAATTAATGCATCCATCTCTTCATGTAAGTTGCTTTATTTTTTGTGATGAGAACACCTAAGGTCTACTCTCATAGCAAATTTCAAGTATATAATAATGTATCATGAGTTATAATCCCATGCTATATATTAGATTTCTAAAATTATTCTTTCTGCATAGAAAGTCCCTGACAGCCACTATTCTATGAATTTGACTTTTTAAAATTCTATATGTTAAAAGAGTTCATACAGTATTTTCTTTTCCTGTAGGTTCACATGTGTTGTCACATATTAAAGGATTTTCTCCTTTTTTTTGAGCAAGAGGAAAGTGTACAGAGTAGACTACTCCATAGATGGAGAACCCCACTAGAAGAGATGGATGAACAGTTTCATTCCTTCCTCTTAAAGGAAGAACTATTACCAAAAGGAAGGATAGAGGGCTATCCCATAGACAGGACAACCCTGACCCGCTTTTTTTAAGACCTAATAATATTCAGTTTCACACAAACATACACACACACTTATATTTCTTATATCCATATCTTGATAGACACTGAGATTTTTTCCTTATGTTGACACAGCGACTAATGTTACAGAGTATGGGAGTATAGCTATCCCATGACACTGGTTTCATTTCTTTTGTATATATACTCAGAAGCAAGATTGCTAGATTATACAGTATTCTATTTTTAATTTTTTTGTGGAACCTCCATACTGTTTTCCATAATGGCTTTACCAATTTATATTCCCACTAAAAGTGTATAGGGGTTCTCTTTTATTGACACCCTTATCAACATTTATCTCTCGCCTTTTTGATTTTAGCAGTCTTATCAGGTATAAGATAAAATTTCATTGAGTCTTGTACTTTTTAGTAACAGTTTTCAGTTTAATAACAGTTTTCAGTTTAATCTACATAGTGATAAAATAAATCAATTTTGATGAAATAAAGTATATTAAGCTATATGTATTCATACTTTCTAATACATATTTTTAAAAATACATAATACAGTGATATAATACCCTTGGTTTATTAAGAATGTTCATCCAGTAGAACAAATAATTGCATCTCTTTTTTTTTTTTTTCTTTTTTTTTTTTGGAGAGGTTTTTGCTATGGGGCGCATGCGCTCGCCAGACAGACAGAGAGAGACATAGAGACAGAAAACGAGAAATCACCCCCGGGGGGATGGTCATGCTGCAATCCCTTCTCCTCCATTCTCCTCTTGGGATCTTGGACATGCACGCACACGCGCCCGGCGTGAGTTTTAAGCCACCGGGTCCAGGACGCGAACCGCAGTCGACTACGTGGGAGTTCAGCGACATAGCCATTATGCTAACTGCTTGTTCCCAATAATTGCATCTCTTATGTAGCAGATCTCTTGTAGGAGATTTGGAATAAATCATAGTTTTAATAACTATTTTTATGAAGTTGAAAATATTGATATATTATTCTAGGAATAAAAGGAGGATTCCCAGAGAATACATTTAACTATCTTGGAGAAGATGGCTTTATGGTAGCCAACCCTATAGCAATGGTGGTAAGCCCACTGTTGAGCCTGATGTGAATAAATTTCAATACCTATTCCCAGTTATATTTTCTTACCAGTATTCATTTCAGTACCTCTTCCTCACCCTCAATTCCATAGGAATGTCTTTATGCCTTTTTCCTCAAGTCTGATCACTTATTTGTCATGATTATATATAACCCTTTCTTTCTAACCATATTTTTTAGTTACCAATGAAATCAATATGATACTCAGTGGGTTTGATCATCAGATCTATATGCTGCTTCTAAAGACAGGCTCTTGAAATGTCTTAAGTTAGAAGCTTTCAATTATGTAAAATAAATATGTGAATGGACAAAGTCAATTAATGGCCTCATATTGCTAAAAATGAGCATTATATACCAAAAAAATACTTTTGTTATACACATAAGCATAAATAATTTAATTACTTAGCAAGCATGAGTACCTTTTTCCTGTCAGCCAGTGTGCTAGGTTTTGAGGAAATAGTAGTAAAGTTGATAGCATCTCTGCCCTCAAATAGTTTATACTCTGGAGGATACAGATATAAACAGATAAATAGCAATTACAATTCAGTGTGACAAGTGTGAACATGGGTGTAGTACTGGAATGATATATCAGCTGTCATATCACTTAACACACTTCCCTGCAATTCTGGTTGATTTGTCTGTATCTTCCAGTAAGCCATAAGTTTTTTGAGTGGGTTAGAATGGCAGGGAGGCAGAAAAAATGAAGAATGCAAATAGGTACAAACTCTTACAAACAGCTAAGCTTTGAAGAGTAAGGTGGAGGAATTGGTTCTTAAAGAGAGATAAGGGGGTGAAAGGGCTTTTATTTCTTCAAAAGATTAGTGTGTATTTCAGCTTATGGGATGGAGCTAGTATTTGAAGATACCAAGTAGAGAAGGACATAATTGATATATCCAAGGTCCAAAGACCTTAGAGGATCAGGCAAAACTGTTGCCCTTAAATAAGATATGAGATATATTTGAAACAAGACTGAGTGAATGCAGGGCCATTCGTTGATTTGGGAATTCTCATCAGATGGGTTCCATTTAATCTTTAAATTATGAAGTTAAGTCATCTGTGAATGGGGTGGGTGAGTAGGTAAGGGTCTAAGCTCAAGGAAAGGTATGAAATAGTCATCAGGGATAGTTGGAGAGTAGCTTCTCTATGTCATGGTCAGTTTGCTGGGCAGTTGTAATGGCCCATTTAAGTATGAAGATCATGTATTTTCAATGGCATTTATCTCCTATCCTATCTCTGTCTTTTTACCTAGCCTAAGAGACCTAAAATTCCTTTTTTCTTCACAGTCCATGAATTTCCCTTCTGCCCGCTTCCTTTCTGACCTAGACCTTTTGCTGGATCTTCTGAACTACTTGCTCTTTCCTCCCATGCCTTCAATTCCCATGTCACCATGACCTTCTACTACATGCACAGAGAAAAATCTCATCCCTTGCTCAGGCTATAATCTGCACCTGGATCACTCATGGTTGCTTAAGAAAAACACACGACCAGACAGACCCAACCCTGCCACAGACATGGTGCCAGCCTCATTCAGTTGGACTCCTAGCACCTACCACCAGTCACCTCCTTCCATTGGCTTCAGACAACTCCCACTTTCCTTCTCTTCAGTGCATAATTCAAGTCTATGTTTTACCTACCCTTTTCATCCTTCGCCTCTCTCAGCAGCTACCTGCCTTACTGAGAAAAGTGAGCCCACCCACTATGAACAATGACCGTTGACTTCTTGCCCTGTAACCTACAATATATGTACACCAGCCCAGGGATGAATGAGGGGGCTCTTCACCTTGTTCAAAGCCAAACCCCTTATACAAATGCCTTTATTTAACATGTATGTGCAGACAACTTATCCTTTGTCACCTGTTCTCTCTCTCCTGCATCTTTAGCCCTACCCTACTACTGGTACTTTTCTATCAACATCTATCTATCTATCTAGTTGTCATAATGCATTTTTGCATAGAAAAACATGTCATAATTTTCCAGACAATCAATATATATCTATGTATTGGGTTGTTGGAAAAGTCATGACACATATTTTTCATAGAGAAATCTGTCATGATTTTTCTGATGACTATGTATGTGTGTGTGTGAATATATATATATATATATATAGATTCTGTGTCAAATGCATAAATTACAAATAAACAAACATAAATCCCACTCCCTTGACTGTTCTGCCATCTCCAGTTAGTATCTGATCTCTCTCGTTCCATTACCAATATTTTCAAGGCAGTATCTATACTTGCTGCCTCCAACTCCGTACTTCTCATTTATTTTCTAAACTACACCAACCTGACTTCTACTCTTAGCATTCTACCACAATTTTTCTTCCTAAATTCATTAATAGCTTTATAATAGTCAGGGCCAGAGGCTATTTCTTCATTCTTGTCTACTAGAAGTTTTTTGGTACATTTCACAATCTTACTATACCCTTTCTCTTGAAACTATTCCTCCGACCTCCATAACAGTTGTTCTCCTAGTTCTCTTCATCACTCTGACTATCCCCCCTCTGCCTCCTCCATAGGCTCTTCTTTCTCTATCCTGCCTTTAAATATCAGAATTCCTAAGGATTCTTGCCTGAACCCACCGTACATCTTGCTCTATGCACACTTGCTAGATGACTCCATGTATTCTCATGGCTTCAATTTTGTATAAATCTTGGTGTGAGACTTTTTCTTTAAGAGGTCTTTGCCTTCGTGCATGTTCACCCACTGGAGGGAGGGAGAAAGAGAGAGAGAGAGAGTGAGAGTGAGAAATCACACCCCAGGGGAATGTCCATTCAGCAGTCCCTTCTCCATTCTCCTCCTGGGATCTTAGGCATGTACGCACACATGCCCAGCATCATTTTGAAGCCACCAGGTCCAAGACTTGAATAGCAGTTAGCCATATGGGAGTCTAGCGATGTTGCCACTATGCCATCTGCTGGCCCTAGTGTGAGACATTTTTATATCCCAGGAATGTATAATTTATATGCCAAACTTCCTGCTGGACATCAACCAAATGGAAGATACTCAAAGCTGAACACATTATCTTCCCTTCTAAGACTGCTTCTTATCCAGTGTTCTTTACCTCTGTGAATAGTGCTGACATCCTTCCAATAAAAACATCTTCTTCCCTCCCTTTCTGACATCTCATCTATTTTCAGATCCTGTCCATGCACTTCCTAGAAATTACTTCAATCTGCCTTTCCTCTCAGTCTTTAGTCTCACACTTCCAATTAAGTGACACATCATATGTGCCTTCAGACTCGTTATCCTGCTTTTCATATTGTCTCCTTCAAATCTGTTCTCTACGCAGCCACAGAGTGATCAGTCTATAATGTGCACCTGGCCTATCTTTTTTTGTTTCCTAAGAGAGTTTTCTTCCTCTACCTTCTCTTCTTCTGAATTTTGAAACATGGGGAGAATGCAGAGACTTAGAAGAAACAATGTGTGTTAGTCCAGGTAGATTTTTTGTAAGTCATATTTGAGGATTGCGAGAATTACCTTTTGATAACTTTAATAGTCTTTCTGATGTTTGAGCCAGTTACTTTCTGAGAGTTTAGGTGAGGAAGATACTGTGGTAGGAGGTTACTGATTGTATTACAGTTAAAAGAAAAGGGATGATAGTTGAAGGAATCAAAAGTTCTTACATGTCGGTGTAGTTCATAAGATACTTTTGCAATTATGGTCATGTTTTTAGTAATAATCGTTTAATTACATACAACATTCAGTGTCTTAGTGATTTCTCTACTTTAATGCTAAAGTACAACATTGTCTATCCTGAGCTGTGGCAAATGGAATTAAGAAGAACATGAAGAACTCAGTTTTCAAGACATTTTGAACCCAAAAATGCACATACAAGATAGTCATGGTTACCAAAATCAATTCTAATTTTAAAAATTCCCATGAGCATTTTGTCTATGGACTATCATTGTAAAATTCTCAGTCAAAATCTAAGCATAGCACTTACAATGAAAAGTATTCCTTTCCCATATGAGAGGATATAATTTTCTCAGACTTAAGATTAGATTGGGGATTAACACTGAAATTTGAGGTTCTACAGAGAAACATTAACCTGATGATCAATTAAAGCCTTTTAAATATAATGACATATAACATATCAGGAGTACCTAGGACAGCAGACTGCATATTAATAATAAGTATTTAGTAATAATTATACAATTCACTTTTGATTTTAAATTTCTAGTTTTGTTAATGGAGTTTTTAAATTAATTTGAAATCACTCATTTTTGAAAGATTTTGTTATATGTTTATTTGCTTGCTTGTTTTGATACCTTTGGAAATGGTAATATCATTAATTTGTAGGGCTCTATTCCTACTATTTTTATATATTATGAATAATTAAAATTGCTTTAGTATAGTCTGATTTAATACAACAGTGCAGGCCAGCAGGTGGAGATTAAGGAAGCTTTATCCCACATAGCTTACTCCATGGTTGGTTTCCTAGACCTGATGGCGTGAAAAATATACCAGGCATGGGTACATACCCAAAAGTCCCGAGAGGAGAATGGAGAAAGGATTGTATCCATCCTCCTGGAAAGTGATTTCTCATTTTTCCCCCTTTCTCTCTCTGTCTTAGTATTAAGGTAAGCACATGCTCACTTTAGCAAACAAACAAACAAACAAAAAAAGTGACTGTATTTCAGAAGTAATTAGTAGTAATCATAACTTTTGAAAATATTAAGTGGGGACCAGCAGATGGCATAACGGTTACATGACTGTACTCCCGCATGACTGATGGCCGTTCAAATCCCGGACCTGGTGGCTTAAAACTTATGCCACGTTTGTGCGCATGCATGCCCAAAATCCCTGGAGAGGAAGGGATTGTGGCGTGGCCATCCCACCTGGGGAGTAATTTCTTGCTTTCTGTCTCTCTGTGGCTCTAGAGAGTGCATGTACCCTGTAGCAAAAAATCTCTCCCTTTAAAAAAAAGAATATTAAATGAAAGATTTAATAAATATTAAAGATATTTGAAATATTTGTTGTCTATAGGAATTATACGAATACCATATATGTGATATATAAATACATAAATAATGCAGAAATTGAATATCAAGACACATATATGCATGTTACGGTTTCCAGAATTAAATCCTTATGAGCCCAATTCTTTCAAACACCAAGGACTACTTGAAAAAAAGATAATCAGTTTGGAAGCTAATGGCCCTTTAATACAAGAAGAAAACAATGAGTTTTAACATCTATGTATGATATTTTGTTTCTGCTTTTTAGATTTCCATTTTGACAATACCAGCAGAGGAACCAGGAACTTCTGCTGTTCGGGTCTTTGAGTTATGTTCTTCAACAATGACGTGCATGAAAGGCACCTGTAAGCACAGTAGAATTTTGTTACTTGTTTTTTTTGTGTTTATTAAGGGAGTAAAAGGGACAGCTATTACAGCTGTCAAGGCTGTATTTATAGAGAGTTTTCTAGGCCAGCCCTGTGACCTAGTGGTTGGTCTCCCAACCACCATTTGAATCTTGACCTTGGCAAATTAAAAAACACACAAGGCACGGGTACATGTGTACCCAAATCTTGACATGATTGAGAAATTGAGACACTGTGACAATGTGACCTCATCCCATTGGAGCATGCTTTTTCCTTCTACTCTGTCTCTTACTGCACTCTCTGGGAATTAAAAAAGAAATAGAAGAGAGATTTTCCCATATATTAATTTTTTATTCATAGTATTTGTTCATATAGTATATGGTCATACGATAAGCCATTTCATATCTTCCACTTGCCTCTAAATATTTCTATGGCTAAATAGTCACAGGTATAATTTGTTAATTCTCTAATAGAGACATTTTCATGACTTCATAATCCTTCTTTAATTTTCTTAAGGTTATTGAAATCTACTTTTACAAAATTTATTTTCTTTATTGCTAGTTTTCTTCTTTACCTCTGTCTTAGCCCATTCTTTTCATTTTTTTATAGAGAGATTTTTGCTATATAATACGTAAATGTCAAAAATTGGTGGTCAGCAGATGGTATAGTGGTTAAGGCATTGGACTCCCACGTGGTCAACCATGGTTCCAGTCCTGAACCTGGTGGCTTAAAACTCACTCTGAGTATGTATGCATGCATGCCCAAAATCCTGAGAGGAGAAGGGGTTGCAGTGTGGCCATTCCCCCATGGTGTGATTTCTCGCTTTCTGGCTCTCTGTCCCTCTTTGTTTCTCTGGCAAGCACATACGCCCTATAGCAAGAATCGCTCTCTCAAAATAAATAAATAAATAAATAAATAAACAAAAAATATTAGAAATTTATTACTCACAGTTCCAGAGGCTATGAAATCCAAGTTTGTGACACCAGCAGATTTAGTGTCTGATGAAGGTTTATTTCTTGTAGCATCTAGTATGTGCCCTCACATAGCAGAAGGGATGAAGAAGCTCTCTGAGTCTCTTTTGACCTATGTCCTCTGCCCTTATGACCTAATCAGCTCCCAAAGATCCCATCTCTTAATATTATTGCATTGGGGATTAGGTTTCAACATATTGTCTACAATACTGTTAGATATCAAGTCTTTCACAATATACTTCTTAAGAATATTTCAGTAAACAGTAATCAACAAGTGTACATTACACATTACACATCACTTTCTAGAATTTAATTGTGTACTGTAGGTACTATGAAGAAACAGAAACTAAAACTACTGGTGGAAAATGTTGGGGAAACTCTTGGAGATATTGAAGTAGGCAAAGACTTCTTAAATAAGACTCCAAAAGCATAGGCAATAATCCCTAAAATAGACAAGTGGGACTATATTAGACTAATAAGTTTCTGCACAGCAAAGGACACAGTATCAAGTGTGAACCGACAACCCTCAGAATGGGAAAATATTTTTGTTAAATATGCTTCAGACAAGGGACTGATAACCAGAATACATAGGGAACTCAAGTGCCCTATGTGAAAAAAAAATGATTAACCCAATTAAAAGATGGGAAAATGAGCTGAACAAAAACCTCTCTTAAGGAAGACATACGAACAGCCAAAAAGTATATGAGGAAATGCTCAACATCCCTCATCATAAGGGAGATGCAGATAAAAACCACAATGAGTTACCACCTAACCCCTGTCAGAATGGCAAAGATTAAGAATATAAAAAGTGATAAGTGTTG